CCCCCCCCCCCCCCCCAATCCTCCAACCACCACCCAACACTCCTATCCACCCATCCATCCATCGCCTACGCACTACTACCACGCGACACATCGTCCCAAACTCACCACAACACAACTAATCGAGGCAACAACGAGTCGATCGCCTAGCTTGGCCGGCTGACTCGTTCTGGTCATTAGAAGAGACAAATTGTTTACGGTTCATGGTTACCGGCGGCCATAACAAGAAAAGCAGGCCCCCATACCCTCCCCCATTCTCATTGAATCGACAACTCGGCGGTCCCCACGCCCGGTCCGTCCGACTCACCGAGCTTTGCCTATGCTTTCAGATTAATTAAGGAGCAAGAGAAGTCGGAAAGACAAGAAGCCGTTCGAAGGGAGCGAGAACTTAGAAATCAACAGCTACTCGAGGTGAGTCTCGACCATCAATGAGCTTCTTTTCATTTTGTTTTAATCTCGTTGTTTCATTCATTGAAAATCTACTCTCTTTTCTATTTGGGATACCTACGTTTTTTGTATTTTTATTCACTTGTCGTGCGTGTCGCATGCTCTTTGTGTGTACCGTATTATATACATATTATTATTATTATTACTATTATTATTATTATTATTATTATTACTATTACTATTACTACTACCACTATTACTACTACCACTACTACTACTACTACTACTACTACTACTACTACTACTACTACTACTACTACTACTACTACTACTACTACTACTACTACTACTACTACTACTACTACTACTACTACTACTACTACTACTACTACTACTACTACTACTACTACTACTACTACTACTACTACTACTACTACTACTACTACTACTACTACTACTACTACTACTACTACTACTACTACTACTACTACTACTACTACTACTACTACTACTACTACTACTACTACTACTACTACTACTACTACTACTACTACTACTACTACTACTACTACTACTACTACTACTACTACTACTACTACTACTACTACTACTACTACTACTACTACTACTACTACTACTACTACTACTACTACTACTACTACTACTACTACTACTACTACTACTACTACTACTACTACTACTACTACTACTACTACTACTACTACTACTACTACTACTACTACTACTACTACTACTACTACTACTACTACTACTACTACTACTACTACTACTACTACTACTACTACTACTACTACTACTACTACTACTACTACTACTACTACTACTACTACTACTACTACTACTACTACTACTACTACTACTACTACTACTTATACTACTACTACTACTACTGCTACTACTACTTATACTACTACTGCAACTACTGCCACTACTGCTACTATTGCCACGACTACTAAGGCTACTACGACGACTATTACTATCACTATTGTTATTATTATTATTATTATTATCATTATTGATTATTGTCATTATTATCACTATTATCTTTATTGTTGTTGTTATTATTATTATTATTATTATTATTATTATTATTATTATTATTATTATTATCACTTTTATTATCATTATAATCTTTATTATCTTCATTATTATTATACTTTTTTTTATTATTTTTTTTTAATCATTATCATTATTATTACGTATTACATATTACTTATGTCTCTAGACATTCGTATTTATATAAATATATATGGGTTGGATTTTGTATATTTTTTCACATTCAGGCTTCATATATATATATATATACACACACATATGTGTATATAGGTATATAAATATATGTATATAAATGCATATATACGCACATATGCACGAAACATATGCAAATTAAGTACATGTGTGGCTGTATACGTGTATTTATACATTTATATTATATATATTTTTATAGAAATATACTCTTACTCGTTATCCCTTAACCTTAAATCAATCAAATTATCCTCAAATAACCTGATACACTATTACACCAGCCAACGAAAATTTGCTAGCAATAGTGACAGGAGAGTCCAGCATGTATTTTTGTATTTAGTTGAACTACGTTCAAGCAAACAGAAATAGTTCAATTTGTGCAGGAACTTGATGTCGGACAATTTTTTCTCTACCTTATTACTTTTGGGCCACAAACTTTAAATCTTTTAATTTCTCTTTTTTTTTTTTTTTTTTTTAATTTTTTTTTATTTCTTTTCTTTTTTTCATAAAAAAGAAAAGTTCTACACCCATATTTAGCATTGTACTATGTACTTTTCTATAAATTTTTTAAAATACGTTTATGCTGGGATACTCTGCGGAATAAAAATGAATGATTTTTAGTTTTTTAAATTTAGTTTCCAATCGACAATGATTATCCTTACACAATTATACATATTTAATTTAATTTTAGGTTATTTTTTTCAAAATTTTTTCTGCATTTCATGTTATAATATCTATATATAAATACATATATACTACTATAGGTCAAAAAAAAAAAAAAAAAAAAAAAAAATGATTTTTAACAAATTTTTTTCAGTCTGTGGCTTAATACACATATCATGACTGTTATGTATTAAAGCTCAGACTGAGCCTGTATCTAAAATTGTCAAGGATCATATGCTTACAGGCACCGAGTATAATAACTTACTACTTCTATAAGCAATCGGTGAATTCTCCAATGCAAGAGAGAGAAATCGTCTAATTTAATTAAATTCGCTCCTTTACCAAATATAAAACCAACTCATTGACTAACATCACCAGTTGGCTACATACATGGTCCACCGCACCTTAACCGCCTAATCATAAATAAACGCTGACACGCACAAAATGAATTTCTCAAATAATCACGCATCCATTGAGCACATGATAAAATATTTAAAAAATTTTAATAAAATGAGACAAACAAAATAAGTATCAACATATCACGCTTCTCGCAGCAATTAATGCAAAAGCAATAACGCTGGGGGAACACTCGTTTTCAAAGTAAGAAGGCAAGAAAGAGAGAAATAATCAAAGACACTGGCTAACAATAACCCATTACGACCATTACCACCGCCACTACTACCATAATCACCATTACCATCATCATGACCATCACCATCACCACCAGCACCACCACCGCCACTACCACCGCCACCACCACCGCCACCACCACAACCTCCACCACCACCACCACCACCACCACCACCACCACCAATACCACCCGTCAGTCACTCACCTCGTCGGGGTGTTACGCCGGCACGGCGAAGGGGCGGGGGG